TCTGAACGTGGAAAAGTAAGACCCTTCGCAGAGCAGTTGCTTTCAGCGATCAGCTCGTACCCAATAAAAGAATACGCTCCAGTATCTCCCAATCTAGCTGGAGTTTCTCTCTAACCACACCACTCAATTTTACGTTATAGGACGTACCGACTCAGGAACATTGGCGTGCTTTGCTCTCGTAGCAGTGGTACAAGACACATTTCCTTTAGCAGCGTCACCACTTGGAACCCACAGCGTTGTGTCTACACGAAGGCTGTAGAAGCGCAGTGCTGATGGACCTCATCACCTCCGCACGCCTGAAGCGGTCTACAGCGACACAGCTATTCACCAGGCTGGGGTCCAGCACCGTAGACCTCACCATCTCCAAAAAAACTGTTTCCACACATAAAACTGGGAGGAATTCATGTCAAAATAGATAATTTGGGTACCTTGACTTGTGCAGTGCCGTCTGCTTGGGTTTCTCTCTCCCAAGTGTCTCAGAAATAGAAGAACTGATAAGGAACTGCTCCTCTGCTTTCTCTCCATCTCCCTTCATAGGCTCAGCAAATCCTTGAGCACATCCTTAATCTATTTTCTTAAAAGGAGGCAAGTATGTGCTCAGGAGGACTTAACCACACACCTCGGTGCCCGCTGGATGAGGGCCCCGCAGAGCCGTTCCCGCAAGACCCCACTCCTGTTTCCGTGGGCCTGCATGCACCCAGCATTAAGGAGCCCAGACTCTGATGAGGGATTTCCATATTATTTATTATCTGTGTTACAGTTGCAACTGGGAACATGGGGAATGACTCGTTCCAATTTTAGCGACAACTGTATTTACGCCCTGCGTAGAGCCGAACGATGTAGACATTCCCAAGCCCAGGCTTTTTATAGCAAGCAGAAGCACCCACTCCACCCCCTCAAAAGCCTTTTCTAACCTCCGAAGCCTGCTTACAGCCTTGTGCTCTTCAGAACAAGCGTATCTCCAAGCTGAAGATGCCCGTCATGGTTCAGCCCTCACTAAATCTGATGTGGAAGCAGCCCTTTTTCCAATTTGGCTCATCCTAGCTTGAAGTCTGGCACAATTTTTACAAGATCAGTCCAAGGAAAGATGTGGCAGTCCCCAGGACGCTTACGGAGTTTGTTGCGATGTCAATGGGAAGAGTGTTCATCCACCGAAGGGGAAGCAACGTTAAAGGAGGAAGATCTCTCCTCTCGGCTATTAGAGCATGATATGACCTCCAAAAGCCCTGTTAAATTCTACATCTGAGCCAGGAGAGTCCTTGTGGAAGCAGGAACGAGATCCCCGTGAGCTTCTCAACCGTAGAAGGTTCCCACCGGCACGTTGGCAGCGGGAGAGTTCAGGTTACATTGGCAGTTACCGTTAACCACCGATTCCACCTTCTCCCACCCATTTCTGCCCCCTTCTCTTTCTCAGGAGAGAAGTCAACGCAGATGCAGGGACACAGTACGGCGCCCAGGGCTCTTGTGTGGTTCAACACCAGTTCCTTGGGAGATGAAGTACGTCTTCGTCCTGGAAACTGCCAGCTCAGATTTTGCTGCTCAACAAATGCTGGTCCTGCAGTGGGGACTTCTTTGTTTATTTAACAGCAGGAACCCAGCACTACGTAATGGAACTGAGCCGCACATCAGGGACAAGTTAATACAGCAACAATGGCATGAAACAGTTCTATTTTTTATTCTTTTACTACTATCACCGCACGAGGCTGCTTCTCTTAACTCTTACTTCATTTATTACTGGCTGCCATGAACGACCATTTGTAAAGGAGGGCTGCGAAGAAAGAGACGGGGGCAGGCTGACGGCGATTTGCGAAACGCGCCCTGTGTAAAGGCAACAGCTGTTAAACAGAAACACGAACCAGCCTACATATTGCAACCCCGAAGGATGCAGTACTGAAAACTGATTTTAAAAAAACTGGCTTGGTCAGTGGGCTGAGCAGGAAGATGGTGAGAAACCCACACTACATCTGCTTCCCCTTCACTGCGCGTCACGTTCACCAAGGGACACGTTCAAGACGAATTCAAGTGCCTTCAAAGAAAACATCTGTGATCCGAGATGACATTTCTGCTCACCATCCATCCCTCCACACTGCTGCCACTTTTAGCAACATGCACTCACGCAGTTGCCCTGCGTTGATGGAGAAGATATAACCCAGTGACAAGAAAACCAGCATTTGCTAAGCACATCTACGCTAGCTCCAACCACTCGTGAGAAGGTCCAGGTATAATTTTCTATATAAATCCAACAAAGCTGCTGAGCTAAACTGATGCTGGAAGTCCTGAGTCAGCCCCTACAGCAGGACAACAAAAAGATCTGAAGAAAAAGGTTCCAGTTCTCACCCCACCTCAGAAACAAGGCTCAAACGTCCTTTGGTTATGAGAGTCTCTGATCTTCCCGACGTATTTGCTGGCCTGGGAACAGGCTTGGCACATCACCTACCTGCCCAATCCAAGCTGGGAGAGAGGGGGGCAGACACACCAAAAAAAGTTAAATAAATAAATAAAACATACTATATGGCAGAAAGACACCTAGGAAGGATACAAAGACAGACTGGATACACTCGCTTCATGCAGTTAAAGAACGACTCAATTTTGGTGCAAGCAGGAGATCAACCACCAACACAGCAAGAGCCTCCACAAAGCCTCTTCCCGGTGCCGAAGGCTCCAGCCGTCGGCTTCGCTGGCTTTGGGAGCAAACCCCAGTCTGAGAGAGACCAACACAGTCACCACTGCAAAACACAGAGACTTTAATTACAACCATAATGTGGGAGGAGGTGGGGGAGTGCTGCTTCGGACATCGAGCGGCCCTGGGGGCTGCTACGTGCGTGGGCCCACCAGGAGAGGAGCAGAGCCCTGAGAACTAGTGATGGACGTCGGTGGAAGTCAGAGGAAGGCAAGCAGCTGACTGCCACGTGACAAGGGCACGTTCTAAATGGGCTGGTAAGACTCAAACAAGAATTAGCTGCTTGAAGTCCAAAAATCCCTAGCAGGACAGATATGCAGACTCAGGCAAGCAAGAACCACAGAGCTCTACGTGAGCCTCCTCCAACCTCCTCGGCAGGTCCCAAGCCCAGGGACACCGTCCCCAGGGAGCAGTGACTGCAGCTGCAGGGGAAGGAAGCACCTTCCCAGCCTTTTTTGGTGCTGTATTTCACATTCTTGGCGGCCCTCCCATGCATGGATGTCAACGTTTCCAGCCATCCTTTTGCATGGAAGCCCCACTTCCATAAGATGACCAGGACAGATGCGTTGCTGACCTCTGGGCAGCTTTGGAAAAACCAGGAGCTTTAGCTCAGCCATTGCCGACCAGACGCTGCACAGCCATTGAAAGCATGGTGACACTTGCCAAAAGCCACGCAGCAACGCGAGGAGGCACAGGTGGAGATGCCTGGGGTCCCCGCTCCAGGCACTGGCTGCTAAACTGCTCCACTGGAGATGGACTCAGCAAGTCCCAGCAAGCACAGAGATCTCCAGCACCGCTCCAGGAGTGGATCCATTCGGAAAGCCAAAGCAAAACACACGTCCCATTTAGGAGTAAAACAAGAGCTAACTTCAGTCTTCCATTTTCACTTAAAATGCAAGTTTACAGACTTGTTTCAGGCAGATCAAAAGATCCTTGCCCCCTGCCCAGGGCCGAGCCAGGAGCAGACAGGACAGTAGCAGTGCGAGAAAGCTCTGCTTTAGCTCTGCAGACACCTGCATTTCACTGCCTCTTAATTTAGACTCTTTTTCTTGCTCTCCCTCCCCTGAGCACCTGCAAGAACCTTTACAGGAGGGAGCAAGTAGGTCTAGCAAAAAGAAAATTGTGGAAAAAAAAAAATTCCCAAGCAGGCTTCCCCCCTGCCAACCGTAAAGCAGCGCAGCAGCGAAAGCCGAGCAGCCTGGCTAGGGGCAGCCCCGCCGCCCCCTCCATGGGCTGCAGGAGGGCCAGAGAAAGGATCCCTACCACCCCTGACCCCCAGCAGACACCAGACCACAGCCCCGTCTCCCCCAAACCCAGCCTGGGAACCCCAAAAAGAAACATCCCCTCTCCAGCTGCAGAGTTGTGGACCATCTTGGTCGAGACCTGCGGACAGTACAGCTCATCTCAAACTCAGCACCAGCCGCTTCTGCCCTCCTAGTGATGCTGCTGGTGTGATCCAGATCGCATCTCCATTCTTTCACCTGCCTTCGAGATGCCGCTGCTGGTGGCCCTGGAAGTGTGGTCCCTCTGCCCGAGGTCCAGCACAGCAACACCAGCAGGGAATGACAAAGGGAAAGATCTTTCTCTAGGTATAACCCGCTGTCCTGGGCTATTTATGCTTTTTGTTTCCAGCGCAAGTATATAAATGCACGTAAAGCTGCATGCTTACCCTCTCATGCTGCCTTTGCTCTGGGGACGCCTCCCTAAAGACCTGGGAAACATGCTGCTTCGTGGGGAAATCCCTTTGCTATGGGGCTGTCACTACAATTTATGACCAAGCAGTAGCAACCACTGTCACCTTGTGCCACTGAGGCCAGCCCAGCCCTGGGGCAGCAAAGCACAGAGGAGGAAACAGCGAGTGCAGAGGGCAGGTTGGACCCAGCGATGAATATGTGCGAACGTGTGAGGTTTTGTGCCCATTAAGAAGGAGCCTGAGCAGGCACCACTCAAGCAGTGTCTTTGCATAGCTGTTCCCACAGAGCCGAGTCCCTCCAGGGACCTTGTCTCCGGCTCCAGAGCCAGCTCAGACCCCCACAGCCCAGAAGGTTCCCAGCTTCGCCTGAGAGAAGAGGCGGTAGCACGAAAGGAAGACCCAGGGAACCTTGCAGAAGGGATGGAGGGAGGGGGCTTTCCTTACCCAATAAAAGGGAGAGAGAGCACTCTGGGCTTCCAGCTACCCACAGACAATCCCTACAACTTCCTTTACTCATTTCAGACCTCCCCGCGCAAGCAGAGGTGGCTGCCTACAGACACGTGCAGGCTCACACCTCACCCCTCACAGTGGTTTCCCAAACCAAACAGCAACAGGAAACATCAATGAAATTCAAAAGGGAAATTGCAATTACCACTGCCCAACACATACACACGTGCCTTCCTCCCCTCCACACCCCCTTCGTCCCGGAAAGGGAAGCAGAGGGCCTTTGCTGAAAGGCAGCCCCTACTCAAACCCCATTCACATGCCCAGAGCTGCAGACGGCAGATGCGTTGCCCGTGGACGCAGCAGAGCCGAGAAGCACAGCCCCGGCTTGGTCACTGGCGAGACATCCCCATGCTGGGGATGTGCAGGAGGAGCCGCTCCAGGTCCCGTCTCCCGTGCAAGGCCGGCGAGTGCTTTGGATCTGTGGTTGCCGATGAGGATGTGCAGGAACGAATGGGCTGTGTGTAACGGGCAAAGTGATGAGGAGGGGGTGAAGGGAGGAGGAAGAGCGCTGTGCTATGCCTCCGCTGCCTCGACTCCTCCCGCGGCCTTCTTAGGACGTCACAGGCTGGATGGGGAGCAGGCTGCCGAACTTAAAGTGCTGGATCACAGGAAACTTCTCCAGGCACTGCAGGAGGGGAGATAAAGCGGGGTGAATTCAGGAGACATTTCCACCTTACGTGTGCAGCCAGAGGTACATCCTGCCTCCGGGGTCAGGAGGCAGCGAGCTCGGGGCCATTCAGCTCAGCCACAGGCAGAGGGATCAGTCCCATGTCCCTCCTTGATGTTCCCATCAGGCTCCTCAGGCCAGTAACACTTCATAACCTCATCCCCTTCCCTTCAGCCAGAGTCTTTTGCTTGCTGAAATTCAGGCCTGAAGCACGAGCAGAAGAGGCACATTTATGTCAGCAGCTTTCTCTCTCACCACCTCTCCTTGCTCAAACTGATCTCTTTGAAGAGCATCACCCTACAAACACTTTCAGAACTGGAAAACCCCCCGGGGGGGAAGAGGCTCCCCATCCCCAGGACAGTGCCCACATTCTGAGTTCGAGGTATCATCCTGCAGCCACAAGGCATTGCACAAACTACACCGCAGATTCTCAGGTCTTTGATAGACAAGCACCAGTGATTTTGCTGCCATAGTTCCAAGATGTGATTCTACTCCCAACGACCCCTCACCCCTGAAATTCCCACCCTCCATTGCAAAGTAATGATACAGGGAGTGTGGATCACAGATCAGTCATATACGTCCACTACAAGGCAGCTTAGCTCAGAGCTGCTTCCTCCAGCTAAGGCCGGGCTCCGTGCAGGGAGAGTTGGGCTGCGAGAGCCCCTTCTGCTCACCATCCCGCCAGGGCAGGAAGGTCATAGACGCTGCTCAATAACCACGTCAAAGTTTGCCAGCACTCCCCCGGCAGAACCACTCAGAGCTCTTGTTTTTTGAGTCATTGCAGATTCAGACTGCCCAAAACTCACAGAGAGCACAGAGCAGACTCACCTCCAGACACACAAACCTCAGCAGTACGTGTACACCAACTCTGCAGCCGCGTCTACACTAACATCACCCACGTTAGTTGTGAGTAGTTGCGCTAAACAAGGGCCATAGACCACCTCGCTGTGCAGCAACGAGGACTCACCTACCAGGATGCTTGGGCGCATGGCTAGCGAGATGGCAGCATGGCTAGCGAGATGGCAGCCACCTCCTCGCTGCCAGCAGAGGGGCAAGTTCTTCCCTCCTTAGACAGCAAGATATGAAGAGAAGAGAAACCCAAGTGCCCTGTGTCTTAGGAGGAGAGCCTTTCCCCTGTACCCAGCTGAGGCACGGGTCTGCTGATGGGAGTCTTATTCTACAGGAGATGCGAAGTACATAAAACCAAAGCACAGCAGCTACCATCTAACAGGAGCCCAGCTACTCCCAGCAATTCCTTGGCACAACCAGCACGTGCGCAGAGCCAGGGTGGACGGGATGCTGCACTAGGCAGCTCCCCAGCTCCCCACAAGCTGCAGACCCAGCAACAGGAGGGTGTCAAGGCCACACCGGCTCCTGTCTGCAACCAGCAGCCTCCCAGGCAGATCTTGGGTACAAGATGCACAACTCATTCCTCCAAGCACTTCTTTGAAGCACAGTTCCTTCCTACCAAAGGGAGGCAAGAGCCGTGTTGTAGTTACAACTTTCCTTTCCATAGGAAGGACCCTGGTGCCCTCCGCGGGGCCGAGCTGGACCCACTGTAGCAGAGGAGATCCTGAGGAAGCAGTGTGCTGCAGACATCTCTTCACCCCAGGGGCACAGGCAGAGGCAGGCAGCCTGTCCTCGTGCTGTCGTCATGGGCAAGCAGGAGGATCTGTGCTCAGAAGCCCAGGCCTCTGGTAATTCCTTTGGAGCCAGAGGTCAGACAACTGGTTCCAGCACAACTGAGCTGCTCACAAGCACACTGGAGCCAAAACACATGTGGAGGTGGTGAAAGTACAGCACGGCTGTATCCACTCCTGGGGAATAATGCAGAAAACCAGAAGCCTCCATGGCAAGACACCAAGGAGAAACAAGTCCTGCGACCATCAGGGCACATCACCTTCAAAGCTTCCTAATGCTCAGAGGTGCTGCCATCTCCCTGCACAACCACTTAGACAAATCCTCAGAGGAAGCAGTGCTGGACAATGGTGACGTGAGACAAGAACAGAGAGAAAGGAATATTGGAGATGTTGACAGCTAGAAATGTCAGCCCAACTAGCTCCAAGGAGTCCCACGGAAGACCAGACTGGTTTGGGCTCCAGATGAAGAGACTTTACCACCAGTGGGAAGAATGGGTATCCATTCTACTTAACACATTGCCAGCCCAAGAAGAGACAAGCAGAGAAACTTTTCCTCCTCTGTCCAGCAGGACTAGCACAAATTTGTTAGATTATTAGAGGTGCCAAGAGACAGGACCCTCCTTGCATCACTTGTGGGTAAAACTGATGTAGCCAAGACTAGCTCAATGGAGGGGACAGGCTTATTTTCTTCTTGCCTGCATCTTGATCATGTTGAAGATCTGCCTGGGACTCAACTGGGGAGTAGATTCATGCATCAAGTCCAACCTTTACAGATGGAACTGGGACTAGATTAGTTACAATGGAAAGCATTTCCCAACTGACTGCAGCAGAGAAGGAAAGGTCAGGAGACTCAAAAGCAGGCTCAGGGAAAAAACATCAAGGCTGCTGCTTTAACCAGACTCTATTCTGTCGACTTCTTCACTCGCCTTTGATGGAGAGACTACGAAAAGCCCTCGCAGTTCCAAGCGAACACGTCTTCACCCATTATATTTATATTATAAATAGACACATTTGAGGTTTCATAAACACACAGAGCTGAAGACACACTGTCTTCAGTCTACTGCCCATCCACAGACCCTGCAGCAAGCACCCTGGAGTGCCTGGATCCAGACGAGAGCTCCCAGCCACATGGACGCATCTGAGCTTTCTGTCAGCTCTTTAAAGTCATCCCATAGAGGGGACTGAGAACAGACAAGGCATCTGGAGGGCTTTTTAAATGAACCAGGTCTGGGGACTGCCCCACTCCTACCAAGTGAGAGCAGGTTGCGAGTGAGCACTTGATTTCTCTTCGTCTGCTTCTAGCAAGTGACCCCTTCACCCTGCTGCTGCCTCCACTCAAAACCCGGTCACGGTCAGCACTGCCCAGTACTGAGCACTTCTCAGCCACCCCAGACGTGTTAAGGAGCTGCAGCCTCCATCTGAGTGTCTGATTTCACCTGATCTAATTGCAACAGGTGATCAGAGGGGCAGGGAGACGGGAGGCGGGGGAGAAAGGAAATCTTGCTCTCACCTTAGCCAGTCAGACAAAAAGCAACACTACAACCCCAAACCTTTCCTCTCTACTCTCACATGCTCTGAGCTCTGCCACAGAAGCTGCCTGCCTTGAGCTGGACAAAGACCTATGTCAGCACTTGGGGGCTGTCAGCTTACTTATCTTCTGCAAATGTTGGCAGTGGCTAATTGGAGAAAGACTGCAACGGTGAAGGCTACACAGCTGGGTACATCGAGCAGAAACTTGCTCCGGCAGCCAGCAGCTAACAGACAAGATCTTCAGCAGTGACTGTGGGTGCCTAGCCTGAAACATCCAGAAGGATTCAGTTTTCAAAGGATGAAGCTCAGCGACTCCTGAACATCGTGCCATTCCCAGAAAACCACTCAAAGAGATCCTCTAGTTGCAAATGTTGGTAAAACCTGCCAGGCACACTGTAACTGAAAGCTCTGCCCAGCCACACTGCATGTGTCACCCCAGCAGTGGGGTGGGAGACTCCCCAGAGCGGACATAAAGAACCAGTGAGGTCTTCTCAGCAGGAGTCTCCCCTCCACTCCTCTGCCCACCCAGGTGAACACAGGCACCGCACAGTGCCAGGAGAGGACACTGATGCACAAGGATCATGTGCTTAGGAATAGTCCTTCAAGACCTACAAACGTTCTTTGGGGAAAAAACCCTAAATTTAAAGCACTTTGAGTCAATGTTTTCTACACCTTAGCCTACACTTGTGTTGTTACTCTTCCTAGCAGTTTTTGCATTCTCCCCTTGACACAGCTACATCTCTAGGTATTTCTAGAAACCCACCAGTACTGGATCCAGCATTTCCACATAGAATGTCATCTGCTATTCAAAACAGACCAAGGCCTCCAGAAAAGACCACGTCTTGAGTGCTCCTAGAAGAGCCAAAGAATCTCCCAGTCTCTAGATGATCCCCAAGCTGTGCTGTCCCCAGCAGGCCAGGTAGATCTGCCAGCACATGGTGGCCCCAAGACATCAGTGGACATGCACACTGCACCGTGGGCACGTCACTGCCAAGCTCCTCCAGCCATGTACATGGTGCACGAGGTGGGAGCAACCATACGGCACAGGGCAAGCGGGGCACCAGGCAGGAGCACCAGAACAGCATGGGGCACACGGGATGCCAGTGGAGTACCCAAACGGTGTGCGAAGGAACTGGTCCAAAGGAAAGGAAGGACTAAGGCAGGGCTGTCGAGGCAGCAGGATAGCTTGCTCAGGCCCTAGATTTTAGGGGACCCATGTTTCACTTTAACAGCACTCCCAGGGCTGGGGTCTTCCCTTCAGACCCCCCCAGCTCTCACACCAGAGCCTCCAGCTCAGGGTTTCCCAGCAGGCAGCATCTCCAGCCCCTGTGACAGAGTTGTGAGCGGGGGCAGTCCCAGAGGAGCAGCCCAGGGGCACCCCTCGGAGGAGCAGCCAGCGGAGGGGGTCGACCCCCAGCCCTGCTTCTCCTTTGGAGGCTGGGAGGAAAGCTGAGCTGGGGGCGGAAGGAGCCAGCGGGCCTGGGAGTGACACCTCGCAGATTAGAGAGGTATGTGGCCTGGAACCTAAACACAGGATGTGCAGTGCAGAGGAAGGGCTGGGGGAGGGAGCACGCCGAGTTCGGCAGAGTTAACCCCTTTGTGCGCTGGGCCTGAGCAGAGCCGCCCACCGAGCCTCTGCCATATGTCCCTGCAACAGGAGCGTGTCTGACTTGAGCAGAGACCACGGGGTATAGGATTGACTCCTTCAACCACCACTAGTCTGCCTGGGGTGCACCAGGGAGTTGTACCATCCCTGTTCCTCCAGCATCCTTAGTACAGCCTGCAGAGCCAGCATGGTCCCATCCTTCCCAGCCAGAGATGGCCTGTCGGCAGTTCCCTCCAGAGGCCCAGATGTGGCGGTTCCTGTCCTGCTTCCTAAAGCTCAGGGTTAGCTCGAGCAGGAAGGAGAGATAAGGGAAAGCCAAAACTGCCCGTTTCCCAGGTCAGGGTTCGCCAGGAAAGCCTGCTGGGGCAGCGCCAGCAGAGCCTCGGCGGGTGGAGGGCTGCCAAGCGGGGGAGGTAGCTGTGGCCTCACCAGTCCAGCACACTGCACAGATGGGACTCGTAGCGAGAGGAGTGTTCAGCTTGCTCTGAGGCTCTTGAAACATGGCACGATAATTTAAACTAAGTCTCCTCCAGCTGGTAAAATAGCAGTGTGGGGACCAGGACAAGCAGGTCAAGACATCAGCTCTAATTTGGAGACCGGCAACGTGCACTATGGGAAGACGAGAAATGGCAAAAGTCATGTCTGCAAGGGATGGCCATTTTGGGATTGGTTTTGGGTTAAACACTAGGCAGGCAGGCGCACCCGGTTAAACCCTAGGCAGGCAGGAGCCCCCTCCTAGCCAGCAGCACTTGAGCTGCCAAGGGCTCCCAAAGCCACATTCAGCATGGGGTAGCGATCGGCTGTGACGGGGCCACCAGGCCAAGGAGCAGCAGCAGAGAAGAGCTGACCCACAGTCAAGTGGAAGGGCAGAGGCGCGTGGCCAAGCAGCCTCCCCCTGCCCACGGTGCTCACCTCTGCCTTGTACATGCGGATGAGGCCCTGGTTGACCTTGGACCAGGAGGGCACGGCGCTGATGTTCCAGAGCTGGTTGGAGTGCTCGGCAAAGGGGCCTGTCTTCATCTGAAAGAGACCCAAGAGCAGGGCTGAGGGAGCCGGGACAGCCAGGAAGCTCGTGCACCAGCAGTGACTCACGCTCACACTCTCCAAGCAAACATTCCCACCAAAAAAATCGTTGCCCCCGCCGCGGCCACCTCCCTGCGCCTTCCCTCCCTCCCGCCCCCCACGCTCCCTCCCGCTGCGGCCACATCACACGAAGCCATGGCAATCCAGCTCCCCCCCTTCCCTGATAAAATTAAGCCTTTTCCTGCCACGCTTTCCTAATCAGGCCTCCCTCTGCACACCTCCCTTTTAATGACTGCATTAAAAAAGCCCCACAAGTCCCGTTCTCCCCCCCAGTAGAGCTTGGCTCAATGCTGTTCCTGTTCTACCCAGAAACCTCCCAGTGCAACACTGCTGGGCTTTCCAAGAAAATGACTCATTCCCCATTCAGATCAACAACAAGCAGCAGCGACAACCGCCGCTGCCTTCCC